AGAATTGTAATGTGACCCTTGCTCATATAATATGTGAAAATTGCTTATCTGAACAAAATACATAAATTACAGTGTATACAGAAAACATAAAGATAATATAAGTATGAAAGAAACACGCATACACCAATATACCAATGCACACAAGCAGCAACTGACAGCCGATCATCAATTGTTTTAATACGTGCGTTAGATGCACTTAAGTCAACAGTGAACCTAAACAAATATAAAAGATCAATACGTTGGTCTTTTATCTCTTAGTAGGATTTACTGATTCTGCATAAGACACATAAATTTTAGTGCACTTACAATGCATTGGTATCGGATGTATACAATGAAGATAAGAATACACATTTACGCATGTACACACACACACACATATATACGTAGTTAAGGAATTAGTATTAGAAAATGTATATAAGAAAGAAATATTCAATAAAGAGGTCAGATTAAATACAGCAATCTCACGGTGTACATTACGTATTTTTGTGATCTTCACTATCCCCCACCCGAGGTAAGAAGTGAAGTTAATAAAAAGTATAATAGTCTTATCACCCGGTTTCTCTTCCTTCTCAAATGCAACCTTACAAGGCAGTCGATTGACACAAATGTCAATATTTATCCAACCTTGTATTATGAATCATGCTCAGGAGTGAATATAACTACAACAACAACGACTACTACAACAAAAACCCAAAAAGGTTGGTTACTGTCTTTTAGTCTGTTCCTTTGAACTTCGGACTAAAACCTGTGGGACTGTCAAACTACAATTTTACTCTCTCAAGTGAGAGTAAAAGGGGAACAGATACAGAATAGCCATGGGTAATTGCGCAATTTTTTTGGCGCTAGCTGAATAACGCCAGTGCCACCTGTGGTGTCAGCGCACTAACCCAGCGCAATAGCGCAGTGTACTGAATTGAACACGGCGCCATCTGACTGTCACCACAGTACCCATCAGCATACAGTGCAGTACACCACATATTGTTGTCATGTCTATTATTTCTATAGGCGCTGAGCAACGCTTGTACCGCCAACTGAATTTAATTGCTAGGAATGCAGTAAATGCCACGATATTCTATCATTCTTGAGTAAAAGGGACAACTAAAGAATACTGACCTTTGAGCTAGAGAAAAAAAAGTGGGCGTGGCCCGCCGCCTTTTCCGGATTTTAACGGCATATTTTTGTTTTTGGT